ATTGCCATTTTCCCGGTGCAGGTGTTTGCAGAAAAGATGGGCCTGGAGACGGGCTGGAATTGTCACATCTCCCTCACGCCCAATGGTGACATGCCCGGCTCTGAGATCCCCCCCTCCAGTCCTAGCCACACTGGATCCCTGCACGATGACCTGAATCAGGGTGAGGGCAAAGGTTTGGTGTGGACACGAGGTGGGTGTGGGTCATTCCCCTTCCTTGGGGCTACAACTAGAAAGAGCTTCCATGGATCCCCCCCTTGGAAGATGGCTCTGATCTCCCTGCGGCAACGGCAGTCGACGGGGTGGGGGGGGAGGACACCTCGAAACAGGAAGTTTTGCGTCATCTGCAAGGCGAGGAAAGGCCCCCAGAAGTCTGGCCCCAAGGTGAGGGACAGGCTCTTGTCCCCACAGTGTCCCGAGATGATGCGGAAGGGCTCCTCCTAATGGAGGAGGAGGGTCACTCGGACCTCATTAGCTTCCAGCCCACGGACAGCGACCTCCCCAGCTTCCTGGAGGACTGCAACCGGGTACGATGTGGTGGTGGTGGGGTGTCTGTGTCCCCAGAGCCCTGGGGTTGGCCCGTGGCTTGTCCAGGGCAGAGGAGTGAGGGAGGAGGGACCCTGAGGCAATTGGCATCTCTGCTGTCTGCAGGCCAAGCTGCCCCGGGGCATCCACCAGGTGCGGCCCCACCTGCAGAACATCGACAATGTGCCCCTGCTCGTGCCCCTCTTCACCGACTGCACCCCCGAGAGTGAGTACCGTGGTGGCGGCTACTCGGCCAGCCCGGCCCTTGTGTGGAGCGCTGCCAGTGCATGGGCACCCCGCGGGCTCCGGAGCGATGTTGGTTTCCCACGCAGGGAGCGGAGGAACCTGGGCTGGGAGGAGCTGGGGGTCTTGCGGGCTGGAGCCTTGGTGGCCCGTTCTAGGGAGTCAGAAGTGACAGTATTCATACGATGTTCACGAAATTGGGGGCAGGATGGTCCCAAAGAGGGGCCTGTTTTCCCTTGTCTCCTGCTTTGTCCTGGGGGTCTCTGCCCAGCATCCCACGTGGGGCTCGCCTGCCTGACTCTCGTGCCCCCCGACTCTGCCCCCTCAGCCATGTGTGAGATGATCAAGATCATGCAGGAATATGGGGAGGTGACCTGCTGCCTGGGCAGCTCTGCCAACCTGCGGAACAGCTGCCTCTTCCTCCAGAGCGATATCAGGTCAGGGTGACACCCCAGAGCCGGGGGCCAGCCTCTTCCTCCCGGAGACCCCACAGCGGATCTTGCCCTGGTCAGGACCAAGGAACCTGGACTTGGTGGGGAGAAGAGGGAGCGGGTGCTTGCTCAGTCCCGTGGGAGACGGGGTCTTGGCACGCTTCAGCTGATGGGTATGCTTCCCCCCATACGCTGAGCAGCATTGCCCTGGATCCCCTGTACCCGTCCCGCTGCTCCTGGGAGACCTTTGGCTACGCCACCAGCACCAGCATGGCCCAGGCCTCGGACGGCCTTTCTCCTCTGCAGCTCTCGGGGCAGCTCAACAGCCTGCCCTGCTCCCTGACCTTCCGCCAGGAGGAGACCATCAGCGTCATCCGGCTCATCGAGCAGGTGGGGGCTCGGGGTGGGGGGCGCTCGGGGGCAGGGGGGCAGGTCCTGCTTGGGGCGGGCAGTCGCGACGCAGGACCGGCCTGAGCTCCCAAGGGTGGCTCACCTCCAGGCGAAGCTCTTCCAGGCGGTGGAGTTTGCCTCCGCCCCTCCCTCGCGGGAACATTTGGGGCATCTGGCTCTTGGCCGAAGCTTATCAGCTGTGGGGCCTGAGAGAGACCCCAACCTGCCCCTCCCGGTCCCTAGGCTCGGCACGCCACCTACGGCATTCGCAAGTGCTTCCTCTTCCTGCTGCAGTGCCAGCTGACTCTCGTGGTCATCCAGGTGAGGTGGGGCCAGCACGGGCATCGCCCCTCCCTGCTCACTCCTTCACTCAAGGGCCGGTTGAGAGGCTGGGAGGATGCAGCACAGCCTGGGGGGCCCCCACAGCCTCTGTGAACCCCCCTGGGCTTTTGGAGATGACCCCGCCGGCAGAATAGTGTCCCCTCCAGCGCCGTCTCCTCTCAGCGAGGACGTGAGTCTCCGTCTGGGCACAGGGCGAGTCAGCCCTGGGGCTCCCAGTGTCTTACTCTTTGCTAGAATCTCATCGTGCTTCCTGGCTTCTCCTGGTTCAGTTCCTCTCTTGCCTCGTCCAGCTGCCGCCAATCCTGAGCACCACCGATATCCTGTGGCTGTCCTGCTTTTGCTACCCTCTGCTCAGGTGAGAGGCCGGGCCACCCCTCCGTGCCCAGGCAGGCAGGGTTGGGATGTCACCAAGCGTCCCCAGGAGCCCAGGTTCAGGAAGCCATGCTCAGTGCTCACTTCTGGTACAGGAGGCCCGGGGGCACCCTCTCCCTTGTCTTATCCCATCTGCCCAGCAGACTTGCCCTCACTCTCAGGACTCCCGAAGTCCTTCCCACATGAGAATTGGGGGACAGAGGGTCACAGTCACCACCCTTCACTGAAGTTCCTGCTTTTCAGCATCTCTTTGCTGGGGAAGCCCCCCCATAGCTCCATCATGTCTATGGCAACGGGGAAAAACCTTCAGTCCATTCCTAAGAAGGTAAGCACCGTGGAGCCCGGTGAGCCTGGGCTTTTCCTGAGGAATGTCGGTATGGAGGGGGCTGAGCCCTGGGGGAGGGAAGTGGGGTTGGGGCGGCGGGAGGAATTCCATCCGAACTTCCCCAGACCAAGGGGGAGGGGTGGTAGAGAGCTGGCAAGATCCTTGCTCCTTATCCCCCGGGCCCGCCCACCGACTGAGGACCCCGTTGAATCCGTGTGCCAGAGGGGCGGCTGCCACAGCGGTGACGGGCCTCCTCTTCCCGCAGACCCAGCACTACTTCCTGCTCTGCTTCTTGCTCAAGTTCAGCCTCACCATCAGCTCGTGCCTCATCTGCTTTGGCTTCACACTGCAGAGCTTCTGCGACAGCTCCCGGGTCCGTAACCTCACCAGCTGCTCCTCCATCATGCTGCCCAGGTGGGTCCCATCCTGACACCCCCGCCCTGGTTTCCCTCCCCGGGGCCCGGAGGAAGCTGAGCCCACACCTTGCTTTGGCAGCCATGCCGACATGGCTCCAGCCTGGTTTGACGACTTCGCCAACGGGCTGCTGCCGGCTCAGAAGCTCGCCGCCGCCCTGACCGTCCTGCACACTGGTGAGGGGCTCCCCGGGGCTGGTGAGGCACCCTGGGGACCAGGCCTCTGGCCGTGAGAAGTCTGACACCCACCACTGACCCCATTTTCTCCAGTCTTCATCTCCATCACCCACGTGCATCGCACCAAGCCCCTGTGGAGAAAGAGCCCCTTGACAAACCTCTGGTGGGCGGTGACCGTGCCCGTGGTGTGAGTCCTTCTGGGATGGAGGGTGGGAGCAGGGGAGTGGCTGCAGCGGGGCTGTGATTTGAGGGCGGGCTTTGGGCCAGAGGTTGAAGGGTGCCCTCCTTAAGCTGTCCCTGCTGAGAAAAGCAGGGAAGGAAGCAAGAGACCCCGCTGATGCAGGGCTGCCACCTCCTGCAGGTTGCTGGGGCAGGTGGTCCAGACAGCAGTGGACCTGCAGCTGTGGACACACAGGGACAGCCACGTCCACTTTGGCCTGGAGGACGTGCCTCTGCTGACGTGGCTCCTGGGCTGCCTCTCCCTGGTCCTCGTGGTGGTCACCAACGAGATCGTGAAACTGCACGAGATTCGGTGAGCCACCGGCTGGGTGCCCCATCTGGGCCTGGGTGTGTTCCCTAAGCCCGTCACCTCCGGCGCACCGTTCCCCTGCCTTCCCACTGCCGTCCCGCCCTCCTCCTCGGGTGTCCTGCCCGTCCCCTCGTCTGGGGGTCTGCGCTAACCTGGACTTTAATCTCCCACCCTACCAGGGTCCGGGTCCGCTACCAGAAGCGACAGAAACTGCAGTTTGAAACTAAGCTGGGCATGAACTCTCCCTTCTGAGCCACTGGCCGTGGTGGTCATAGTTGCTCTGGATCGTAGGGCTAAAGCCAGACCCATTTCTGAGTCTGGGGAGTTGATATCATGAATGTTTCAGGGTTTGCTCTTGCGCCCTATGGCATTGGAGGCCCAACTCCCGGTGTCAGACCCAGCTGTCGTCCTGCCCCCCGGGGAATTACTGAAGAGATGCTGAGCTGTGGCCTTGGTGTCAGGACAGTCTGGCTCTTCCTCACCAGGGGGAGCACCCCTGGACTCTTGAATGTATGACCTCGTGCGCTTAAAAGAGGGGCCCTCAGCCCCCTCCACCTGTGGGCCGCCCCCCTTCAGGGTCACCGAATGCAGCGCCCTCTGCTCTTGGGTTTTCAGGCAGAGCTATGAGCCATGGGGCTGAGCTTCCACCTTTTGTGGGAGAGCAGCCGTGGGAGGTCCGAACAGCTCTCTAGGCCACTGTTGAAGGCAGGGGTGGTGGTTCATCCTCCCTGTGCCCCTCTCATCCTGTATTCCTGGGGCAGGGGCCTGGATTTGGCCCTGAGTACTTTCCCTCCCTTCCTCTGTGGTCAGGGGGGAGCCTCACACAGAAACCTGAAGATGCAGCAGAGCCCCCGCCTGGCCCTGGAACCTCCTCCTGTGCCTGCCCTCAAGCTGGCGGAGAGAGCCAGTCCTGGGGTACAGCCCAGGGCTCCTTTCAGCCCCGGCCCTAGTTATCCTGTGAGAATGTTTTCACTGGTGTATTATTATTTTTTACTGGAAATGAGCCTTTTAGGAATGAATACAGACTGGTTTGTATTAAAACTGATAAATTCCTGAAGAAAAACCTGTGGCTGGTCCATGAGGCAGCCACTAACGGACCTACCCAGGGCTTCGGCCAGTGACGGAGCCCCTCCGCAAAGGTGAGGAGGGGAGGGCCCAAGCCTTCCTCCTTGCGCGTCAGTGGGAGCGCTCGGGTCCGGCTCAGGTGCGACCCCTGGCTCAGAGGTCCGTGGCGCAGATCCAAACACAGAGCCCGATCACGTGGAATGACACTTTCATTGGTGTTAGTTGGGGGAAGAGGTTAATGGTTACAGAGCCGGGGCCTGGGCCAACCAGGTCAGGCTTCCAGCCCCAAGGCGGGCAGTGGGTGCTCTTGCTGTGGTCCGAAGCCCCTCCCCCACTGCGTCCTCTCAGGCAGTTATAGATAGAATAAATTCCATTTAAAATATATGCATTTCTCTCTGCTTAAAAAATAACATTTACAGTTGGGAACGTCTGGACTTTGGGGGACCTGTGAATCCCACTGTTCCCACCCCCGCCAGCTCTGCCTCACTGAGGGCAGGCAGGGGCGGCGGCGGAGGCTGGCCTGGCCGCTTGTTTACATGTCCTGTGAACACCTGCGGGGGACCAGGCCAGACACACCGCCTCCTCCAGCCTCTGGGCGCCAGGACAGCACAGTGGGTGGCCAGAGGGCCTTGGCACAGGGGCTTGAGACACTGGGGGGACAGAGGAGGTACCCCAGAAGCCCAGCCACCACCTCTTTCCTGGAGAGGAAGCTCTCACCAGGGTCCCTGCCCAAAAGGCAGGGCCGTCCCGTCAGGTTACACACTGGGAGGGGGCTCTGCTGAGGTGTCAGGTTCTGACGAGTCCCCTCAGCTCCCCTGGGGGCCGCCTCCCAGAGCCCTGGTGCCAACAGCCGTTGGCTTGCAGCAGCAGGAGGGACCCCGCTAGGGCGGCAGGGGCGGCGTCCGTGCCGGGGGAAAGGCAGTGGCTGAGGAAGGTCACGGTGGGCACTGCTGCGAGCTGCCAGCAGGTCCGGCTCAGTCCAGCATGGCATCCAGCTGGTTAGCCAGGGCGTCGAACATGGTGCTGATGTCATCCAGGATGTGCTTGGTGGAGGTGCCCGGGAGGCTGCAGCAGGGGAAGGAGCAGGTCAGATCAGCCAGCGGTCCGCACCCTGCCGGCCCGGGGCAAGGGGGCTGCTACCGGGAGCGTGGTTGGTGCGCACTTTGAGTGCGTCTTCTCCTAATTCTCACAACTTGCCGAGGCAGTAGGAGTTACCGTTCCCTTCCTTGCACAGAGACGCTGGGGCTCACAGGGAGAAGTGACTTGCCCAAGCTCACGTGCCTCTAAGTGGCAGCCACCAGGATTCCCTGCAGGTCAGATCTGGGTGACCCCAGGCCCAGGCTCCTCCCATCCCAATAGGGGCCCCCCAGCCTGAGGATCTGCCCAACGTGACGGTGACATCCCCCTCCCGTCATTCCCGGAACCCTGGGAAAAGGCTTCAGGATTCGGGCGGAGCTGCTCTTACGCCGCCTTCTCCCCCTCCGAAGCACCCAGCACCCCTCACCCCTCTCGCTCCTCAGCACCAATGCTCTTCTCCGCGGCCCGCAAGGCAGCTGCCAGGGATGAGCTGGTCTGCTCCAGTCTCTGCTGGGCCCGGCCTGGGCCCGTGGCCCCAGTGTTCTCTGGCCTTGGAGGGGGCACAGGGCGGGGGCCGAGCCGGGGAGCCAGCTTAGGGCCAGAAAATGCCAGCTGGGTGCAGGCCACAGACACAGGCTTGGGGGCTGTTCCTGCAGAGACAAAGAGGTTGGCTTGTGACTCAGCTGGGCTGGGCACGAGCCCTGCCAACACCACCCTCTCCCTGCGGGTCCCGCCTCATACCTGCTCCGGGCACCTTGAGGAGGGCAGCAGGGGGAGCCGGGGGCTCCATCTCCCCGGGCCGCCGACTGTTTTCCAGAGCCGGCCCTGGGCAGGGAGCCATGGGGGGCTGGGTCGGGGGGCTGGGAGAGAGAGGGGTTGGAGCTCCGGGGTTTGGGAGGCTGCTAGGGTCAGGCCGGGGAGGGCTGGCAGAGGCCGAGGGGGACTCGCCGGGGGTCTGCAGGGACAGGGCGGCAGGGGGGCCGGGCGTGGCGCCGGCCACCCCGAAGGCCAGGAGTGCCGTCTGCAGTGGCTCCCTCTCCCGGCATTTGGGCCTCCGCTTAACAGTGTCTGACTCTGTGAGGTTGAAGTCGAGGCCAGCAGGCACAGGCGTCTCCCGGGGTGGGGGGCCCGCCGGCTTGGGCCTCTGTTTGATCGTCAGGTTCCCCTCCTCCGCGAACGGGAGCCCCTCCCCTGAGCTGCCCCGAGACGGGGGTGTCCCCTCGGGCCCTGGGTCCTCCTCCTCTGTGTCCGATGCGGCGCCAGCCGGGGCGGGCAGGCTGGGGGGCTCCGAGGGGCCCGTGGGTTCACTGAGTGTTCGCCTCCGGGGCCCTGGGGCCCCCTCCTTGGGCGCCGGGCTTCCATCTGGCGGCGGTGGCGGCTCCAGGGTGGGGCCGGAGACGGAGCTGAGGCGCTTGGGGGGCGGAGGCGGGGGGCCTTTGCGGCGGGCCCGCAGGGCGAAGGACTGGCTGCGGGGCGCCCCTCGGGTTGGCGTCGGGCTGGGGCTGGTCCGGGCGAGGGCGCTGCGTCCTGGTCGCCGAGTGAGGGTGGCGTAACTGCCCAAGGCACTATCCACCGGCCCTTCGGCCTCCCCCTCGGCTTCCCCCTCGGCCGGGCTGGGGCGGCTCAGGCTGTGGGACCGGCGCTTGGGCCGAGGCGGGTCTGGAGGAGTGGCCAGGGGCCCGGCCAAGTAGGAGAAGGCCCGGGGTGCGCCAGGAGGCGGCCCTGGGGCTGGGCTGGAGGGCGAGCCTTGGGGGTACATAAAAACATAAGGGGGGGCCCCTTGGCCAGGAAGTGGGGAACAAAGCTTAGGGGGCCGCTCTGTCCCCTCTGGAAGATTCCTCTCCTGTGGGGTGTTGGGGTCTCCGCCACTGGGCTGGGAGGCAGGCTGTTCCTGTGAGTGCCCAGACCCCCGTGAGCGTGCCCCGATGCTCTCCTGGCTGGGGGAGCGGGCAGGAGGCAGGGGGAGCGGCTCGGGGCCACCCCCTGCCATGGCCGCCTGTAGCTCTGGGCTCAGCTCGCTGCCCTGGAAGGTGAGGAGGCGCGGGCCAGCCACAGCCGGACCGTCCCCATTCTCCAGCCCCTCGATGGCCATCAGCTCCGGGGCCCTGGCCAGCCGGCGGCCGCCGTCACCTGGGGCCTCCCCCTGCAGTAGGCCCCGCCGAAGCTCGGCCAGCCGCTTCACCCCCAGCATGAGCTTCTTCTGATGACCTGGGAGGGGGGGATAGAGGCGGAAGGGTTAGCTGGGGCTGGGAAGGGTCACCCTCATCCCTCCTGGACCCCCGAAACATTCTGGAGATCCTCCAGGGCACGCGGGGGCCCAGTCAGAGGCCCAGGGCAGTCCTCACCGAGCTTGTTGACTCCGATCTCCTGCAGCTCCTCCCAAGTGAGGTCGGCCACCAGCCCCATGGAATCGTAGCCGCTGCTCACCAGCTGCTTGTGGTACTGCGGCAGCCCCAGCGCGCACAGCCACTCCAGCAGGTCTGCCTGCAAAAGCAGCACCGTCGGCCCCCGAGCCAGGAAGGCAGTGCAAAGCCGCAGCTGAAGGTGGGAGCCCGTGCCCGTCGCCCACTCACCGGGATATAGTTGGGTAACCACTCGGCGATGCTGAGCTGGGCGATCTCTGAGGCGATCTTCTTCCTGTGCCCGGGCTTGGTCACCCCGATGGCCGTCAGGTCCTGCCACACAGAGTCATGCCATCAGGCCTCCTGCTCTGCCCACTGGTTCCTGCACTGCCCTCCCGCTGCAGCACCTACCTCGGGTGTCATGCGGCTGATAGTTGGCACGTCATAGCCAGCCTGCAGAAAGTGGGCAGTGTAGCCCTCCAGCTGGAACTCGCTGAGCCAGTTATGAATGGCCTGAGCGTCCTGTGGTGTGGGGGGAGGGGTGAAGGTAATGGAGCTGAGTCTGCTGGGGCGGGGGCAGGGGCAGGGGCGGGGTGCCAAGGCCACAGACCTGCCACTGACCCCAGCCTCCCCAGGGGCCTGGTCTGAGAAGGGACTTAAGTCCACACTGAGGCCCATCCCAACCCCTACCCGCAGCCCACTCCCCAGTGCAGGTCACACCTTCCCCTCCAGCAGCTGCTCCGGCCTCACGTCCTGGGTGAAGAGCTGCTCCCCGGAGCGGTAGTTGGCTAGAGGGCGGTGGTTTGGGTTGTCTTCAAGGAGGGAGAGAAATGGAATCAGGGTGGCAGGACAAAGGGGTGCCAAGCCCTCAGCCTCCCCACCTGCACCGCTCCTAGCCCACCCAGGTCCCAGTCTCCCTTCCTACCTGCCAGGGACGGGGGGTGCAGTCCTGGCAGCACCTGGTCCTCTCCAGCAGAGGGCAGTGGCTGAAGACAGGGAAGGAACTGACTCTCACTTGGGGAACTGGCAGCGGGTGTGGGGGGCCCGGCCCTGGTCCCAACCAACACCCCCCCCGCCCCCCCACCTGGGCATTCTCAATAAGGAGGCCGGTGCTGTGGCCGTTGGTGCCCTCGGAACTCTGTCCGCTGCCAGCACTGCGGATGCTGCCCACGCTGCCCTCGCTGCCCACACTGTTCCTGTCACCTGCTGTGGGGGGCAGAAACCAAGGGGTTAGAGCCCCAGTTGGCCCTGCCAACAGCTGACTGGCAGCTTGCCAGAGCCAGATGTCTACCCCAGTACCCAGCACTGCCCCCCCCAGGAGGAGGTACCTGGGCTGTCTGGGCTGAGGCCCACCCGAGGCAGCTGGCCATAGGTAAGGGGGTGCAGGGAGTCATCAGCAGGGGGCTGTGGTGTCCTGGAGAGGCCTGGGCGCAGGGTGGTGGACGCACAGGGGAGGCGGGGTGCAAGGACGCCCACCCGCTTGCTGACCACTTCCACGATGCCCGGGGGAAAGTAGCCCACACGGTCCGTGCCCCTCTGGCTCTCGTGGATGTGGCCCTTCCAGCGGCCGTCGGGGTGCTGCTCAAGCACCTGTGGCAGAGGGGCCGGGGGACAGACGAGGCCACGGTCACGTGCTGCACCCAGCGCCCAGCCCTGCAGCTGCGGTCCAGCTCTTCCCCTCCCCCCGGGGAGCTGGCCTCTGGTGCCCAAGCTGGCCCACAGTTCTGGCCCTGCCGCCAGCATCCAGCCCAATCCCCTGGGTGCCTCCAGGGCATACCAACAAGAGTCTGGAGTCAGCCTGGGTTCAGGTCCCAGCTCCACTGCTTGCTAGCTTGCGACTTTGGACAGACTGCTTTCATTCCCTAAACCTCAATTTTGTCAGCGCCAAAAAGGAAATAGTAAGAGCACCTACCTTACCTGGATTGGGAGGAACTCAACGAGGTTGTGCCTATAAAGACCCTAACACAGAGCCTGATCCCCAGTAGGTGCCCAAGGAGGTGACAGCAATCATTGTGTCTCAAAGGAACGCCTGCATTGGGTCCTCACCGTGATGACGTCCCCTGCCCGGACGTTGAGGGCAGTGGGATCGTGGAGGTTCCAGAAATCCTTGAGTGCTCGGACCTTCAGGATCCCTGAGGCCTCTAGAAGAAGGAGGAGGACAGGTGTCATCTGAGGGTCCTTAGGGCATCTTCCCACCCCTCCAGTCCCCTGTTCATGACCCCCCAGACCAGCCCGGGGCCCAGGAGCGTGGCATCCTCTCCTGCTCCGCTCCCTGGGACCCTCTGGAGCGGCTCCGGATGCCCTGGGCTGGGTCTTCTCCCCACACGCTCACCCCGCAGTAGCTGCTTGATTTCACGGCTGGCCTGGGAGGTGGTGAACTGATTCACGATGTCCAGCGCCGTCTGGTTATACGTGTTCCGTATGTTCACGTCCACCCCACCCTGGGTGCAACAGTGCGGGGTAAGCCTGTGCTGGGCGCCTGGTTTGTCGCATCTCCCAATTCTCACAGCTACCCAGCAGGTAGTTACTATTTTCAGATTTTACAGATGAGGAAGTGGAAGCTCAGATATAGGGTCACAGGGGTCCACACCCGCGGGCTGACCAGGGGCCCACACGCACCTCCAGGAGCAGCCGCACCACCTCGGTCTTGCCATACAGCGCGGCCTCGTGGAGAGCCGTGCCTGTCTTGGTCTGGCGGTTGATCTCAATCCCAGCTCTCAGGAGCTGCCTGTGGAGGGGAGGGTGAGTTACTGGGGCAGAGGACAGGGGGTGGGGAAGGAGAGGAAGCCGATTGCTGGGGGCTGGGAGAGAGACCCAGAGCGAGGGTGAAGAGGGCAGCAGGGCGGGGCACTGAGGGGACATCGCCAGTCCCAGCGGAAAAGGATGAGGATGTTGGGGGGGCCCCGGTGGGTACCTGATGACCTCTCTGTGGCCGTTCTTGGCAGCCAAGTGCAGGGGTGTGGTATAGTTGGGGTCACACGGGTCCTTGGCCTCCCCCTCCAGCAGTGCCACACATAAGTGGCTGTTCAGTAACAGTTGGGCCACCTGCAGCAACCAGCACTCAGGTAGGGCCTCCTCCTGAGACCCCAGAGACCCCCAGAACCCAGTACCCCAAGGGCGGCAGGCCCTACCTTGAGCCGTCCAAATTCGCAGGCCAGGTCCAAGGGCGTCTTCTTGGCCTTGTTGACCAGGCACGGGTTGGACTGATGCTGGAGGAGCATTTCTGACTGGGGTGGAGGGAGCCAAGTGAGGGGTCTGGCCTGGCCGCCCCCCGTGCCAGCCCCCCTCTCCCTGCCCCCGCGCCCCTGTAGGCTGGCAGGGTCACATACCACTTCATAGTGTCCGTACTGGGCAGCCAGGTGCAGCGGGATCTGCCCATCCAGCGAGGCGGCGTTCACGGCCGCGGAGGCCCGCAGCAGCAGCCTCACGGGCTCCAGCCGGCCCTGCCAGGCCGCATAGTGCAGCGGGCGCATGCCTGCCAGAGGGAAGGGGGTTCTAAAGGAGGTCGAGGGATGGCGTGGGGCCGGAGGAGGGAACCGAGCAGGGTCTGGAGCCACCCCAGCTGGCGGGGAGAAGCGAAGCTGGCTTCACCCGGGTTTGGTCAGGGAGAGGTCCGGCTGTCTGGGGCTGAAGCCAGAATCCCACCTTGTCCACCATGGATGACCTGGTGACCTTGTAACGGTGATGTAACCTCAACTTCCTTACCTGGATAATGGGATGTCAGTACCACCCACTACCCCAGAAGGCTGTGAAGACTGAAGAGGTGAAGCATTTGCAAGTTCAATCTGAAAATAGTAACTACCTGCTGGGTAGCTGTGAGAATTGGGAGACGCAACAAACCAGGCGCTCAGCACAGGCTTACCAACATCTATTAGCCAACATCTATTAGCATGGCTACAATGTAGCAGGGGCAAACTCTGACCACAGGGTCTGGGGTGCGTGTACACTGGGCTCTCACCATTGCTGTCCTTGATGTCAACGGTGGCCTGAGCCTCCAGCAGCAAGGCTATGAGCTCCAGGCTGCCCCCCAGGGCGGCGTGGTGGAGAGCCGAGAACCTGGTGTGGTGGGACACAAGGTCGGGGGTGTCAGGGAGCGGCCCCCCGCCCCCAAATCCTGGTCTTCCGCAGCAGACCCATCCTGGGGGCCGTCAGGGATGAGTTATTTGCCACTGCACCCCCGGCCCCCCCCCTGCCAGCCCTGCCACGGGAGCAGAGCAGCCGGGCTGCAGCATGAAAGGGCTCAGTGTCTGCGCTGACAGGCCTGTTTGTCTGGCCTCCCTCACAGCCGGCCCAGGGGAGGGGGCCGTGGGAGCAGGAGCCCGAGGGCTCCTACCCTCCAGGGAGAAAGGGGGGCCCAGCAGGAATCTGACCCAAGGAGGCCTCTCAGAGAGGCACCAGGGCCCCCTCCTCTCCCTCAGGGATAGCTCCACGGGCAGGCGCGCGGGCAGGGCCCTGAGCTCTCGGCAAACACGCTTCAAGGGCCAAGTTTGAGAGGGGAAGGGACTCTAGGCCCCAGGTCTTTCCACTGCCCCCCCCCCCCCCCCCCAGTTTTCAAGAGGGACGGGGGCTCCCGCTCACCCATCAGCATCCTGGTAGTTGACGTTGAGTCTCTTCGTGGAGCCAAGGAGCTCTGGGGGTCAGAGTGGGAGGCATCAGGGCACCCTCGAATGAGCCGCCCTTGCCCACACCTGACCCAGCGCCCCCTCCCCGCCCGCCTCCCGCCTCCAGCTGACCTCTTGGAGTGCAGGAAAGCATCTGCCCCATGGCCCTTTAGCTGTCAGTCCCTATGGCTTCCCACCCTGGCCCATCAGCTGGAGGGCGCCGCTGCAGCAGTGGCCTGGCTTCCCTGGGCCCCCAGCCCCGCTTGTTTATAGGGTCAAAGGGGGCGGAGATGGGGGGGACTGGCATGCTGTGCCCTCAGAGGACAGTCCCACGAGCGCATGGTTGGCATTCCTGCCTGAATGGGCCAAGGAGTGAGCCTCATTGTCCCACGGGCCGAGGGGGCTGGGAGAGAAAGGAGAGGGTACCAGAAGCTCGAGAGTAGAGGGCGGATGCCAGGGCTGGACTCAAAGGCCACACTGCCCGGCCCTGGGTCATCCATAAGCGGAGCATAGTGGGGAAGGTGGCGTCACACAGACCTCACCACGCCCTGGCTCTGCCACATACTAGCGGTGTGATCTTGGACAAGTCACTTGACCTCTCGGGTTGTGTCCTCATCTGTAAAATGGGCTGATCACACAAGTTGCTCACGGGGGTTGTGAGTACAATGCCTGACCCTTGTGAAAGACGGGAGCTCTCACCATTCAGCACTCCTTACATGTTAGCCATTATTACCAAGAGGCTGTCCTCCAGCGAAAGCTGGTACAGTCCCCCCAGGGCCCCTGTCAGGGGAGTAACTGCTGACTCTGCACCCACAGGCTCCTAGCAGAGAGCTCTGTGCCCCGGGGAGCAAGGGGAGGATGCTGGTTCATCCCCCTCTCGGCAACAGGGACGGGGTTCAGACAGGTGTGCTCCACGTGTGAGCCAGGGGGTGGGAGGGGGTGGGCCCCAAGGAGTGTTGCGGAGGGGAAGGAGAGTGCCTGTCACAGGCGGGCCCCTGCCTCCTGCTGGAACCCACCCCTGCCGGGAAGGAGGAGGCCTGGCTCAACCCGGCTGGGCAGGGCGCCAAGCATGCTGGTCCAGGCCTGCCCCCCAGGCCCTGGTGGGCCCCTGAATACCCCAGCAAGACAGGGCCTCATTCCAGTAGGGAGGGACCAAGCCTGCAGTGAGGAGCACAGGATGGGAAGGGGGAGACAGCTACGCTTAGGGCTGAGGCAAGTGCGCTACAGCGAAAAGGTAAATACGGAGTCAAAGAGTGACGGAAGAGGTGAGGGGGTGGGGGCCACAGGAAAGAAACCCAGGCCTCCCAGCCTTCCTGTAGCCCCCTTGGAAAGTCCTTGTCACACAGAACCATTCAGGGCAGTGGAAAGAACAGGGGCCCTAGAAGCAGGAAGTGCGTGATTCAAATTCTTCTCCCTCTTACTGGCTGTGTGACCTTGGCCAGCCCTGGTACCTCTCTGAGCCTCAGTGAAGACAACGAGGTCAAGCAGGGAAGAGGCACAGAAAGTCCCTCCAGCTACTGCCAGCCTGGACAGCCTGGGCTGGGGCAGCTCGGCGGTGAGAGGCAGCCCCTCCGGGGAGTGGCAGGACAACATGACAGAAGGGACAGGAACAGGGGCAGGGCCAGGCTGGGTGGCTCTGTTCTTTCCCGAACAATGGCCGGAAAGGCGGTGGGGAGAGGCTCAGAGTGACTGAACTGGGGACCTTGGTGGGAGGGTGGAGGGTCCTAGGTTCTTGGCAGTGGCTCCCGGCACTTCCCCTGCGGTACAACCTTCTTCCCAGGCCTGGCTCTGCGGGTGGAAGGGTCGCTCCTCCTGATTTAGGCTCGGGCAGAGGATGTGAGCTCAGCAGGCCGCCCCCAGCCCACTCCATTTCCTCTGGCCAGAGAAGGAGACAGCTCAAAAAAGGGGGCAGGGGAGGGTGGGAGGAAGGGCAGAGGCAAGGCCAGGGCAACTGTAGCCCTCTCCTCCCAGCCACCTGCTCCCTGAAGAGGACCTGGGTAGGCAGGGAAAGCCGGCCCCCAGTGACCAGATATCAGATGCAGCAGGCTGAGGGAGCACCTCTCTCTGGACAGCCAGAAAGCTTTAGCCACCGGCAGAGGGAAAAGAGGGAGCCCTGCCACCTCCCTTCCAGCAGTTTCCTTTGCCTTTCTGGGTATGGAGCAGGAGTTTCCAGCCTCCCTTCTCAGAACTGCTTCAGAATCACCTGAAGAACTTTCGGATTTGCAGAGTCCCAGGCTCTCTGTGATGATTCTGTAATTCTGGGAGAGACCGGGGAGTCTGTACTTGCTGAACTATCCCTAGGTAATTCTGATGGGCAGCCAAGTGCGGCAGCACAGGGCAGAGGGCTCAGACTTGTCTTTGATCTGCCACACAATGGCCGTGTGACCTTGGGCAAATCACTAACCCTCTCTGAGTGTCAGTTTCCTTATCTGTAAAGTGCATGTAGAAGTACCCATCTCCCAGGGAATGGAGGGGATTACAATATGTCATAAACTGTAGGGTCTGCAAAGGCCACCTTGTGATCTCCTTTTTGTCACCAGCTTTCCCAGCTTCTCAGAGGACTGGGAGGGGGGACAGGTGGTTCCAGGACCCTATCGCTCTGTGCCTGTGCCTACACTCTGTGCAAGTCCCCTGGGGAGTGGGGGGAAGGATCATCTTCCTCCACAGATGTTTCCCCCCTCTGGACACAGGGGACCTTCCCGGAGCCTAGGAGCCTGGCTGCAAGGTTTCTGCCACCAGCCTCCAGCCACTTGCCCTCCTGAGGGCCTCACTTTGAGGTCTGAGGCCCCAGGGCTGTGAGGCCGGCAGCAGCTCAACCAAGGCCCTACTGGGCAGGTTGCCAAAAGCAACACAGAGGTGAGGGGAGGAGGGGCAGTGGCTCCCACTCTGGGGCCTCCAGGGCCCTCCCTGGACCCTCCTTGGCACCTTCCCCCATCGGGCTCACCCTGCATCCACTCCCCCAGGGCACAGAGAGCACCCCTCACGATTCCATCTCCCTACACCCCGGGTGTCCTGCCCTGGCGTGTAAGTGGGGACACTCACACACGTGCACAACTCCCAGGCCCTTAAAATCCTTCCTTCCGGCACCCCACACTCCCAGGTGTGGCTGGGGATAATAGGACATCTTCAGGTAGCCTGGGACTCCTTCCTGTGCAGAGGGCCAAGCTGTGTCTTGGGCTAGAGCCCCAGCACTCCAGAAGGACCCTCTCTCCCCCAGCCCAAGTCTGGTGGCAGGAGCCATCTCCTGTCCCTGCTGGTCCAGGAACTCAAGGGGACAAGTCCAGTGTCCTCCTGGGACAGTCCAGAGAGCTTGCCCTGAAGCCCAGAGGTCTACTCTCCTTGCAGGGTCTCGCTGCAGAGGTACTCAGGAGATGGAAGTCAGGTGTGACCACCTGTGCACAGAGCTCCCACAACCTTGTCGACTAGAGACCCCAGGCTGCAGAGAGACCTCCAGAAAATTAACTTAGGACACCCCCCCCCCAGGGGACACAGGCAGATAAGTCAGGGGGATGGGGGCTTTCGTAAGCAGTTAGATAATGTTGAACTTTGTTTTAAGCAGAATTCCCTTTAAAAAGCCATCTTACAGATATCTCCACAAGCTGACAGAAACACAGAGATGCTCTGGTTGAACTGGGGGTGGGCGTGGAGGCTGAGCTCTAGCTATTCAGTCTTTCCCAACTCACTGCCAGAAACCCCACGGCTCCAAAGAACACATTGGAAAAACCACCTGCTAAAGGCAACTCCACGAGGGCAGGACTTTTAGTTTGTCTTGTTCACTGCTGTGGCTCAGTGCTTAGAGCCTGGCACACCATAGGCACTCAAAAAACTTAGAATGAATGTACTTCAATCCTTTTACTTTACAGGTGAGGAAACTGAGGCCCAGAGAGGTAAAGTGACTTGCCTAAGGGTTCACAGCAAGGGGGACCCAACTTCCTCACTGGCTCTCCCACACAGAGGCACTCCCACCCCAAGTCCCCAGGTCGGAGTGACCGCCCAGGCCTCTCTCCACAGCCTGGCTCTCCGGGGAGGGTCTTAGCTGGAGAGTCACCCCGTCAAGTACTCACTGGTCTTTGTGGCCTTGACCTTAGCCACCAGTTTCTGCACACCAGTCACATCTCCATTCTTGACAGCGAGGATCAGGTCCTGTTCTCGACCCATCCTGGTCCCTGGGCTGGGCTCTGAGCTCAGGAGTCCAGGGCAGAGGCAGGGAAACGGGTCTAAGCCGAGGTGTCAGGGTGCCATCCCTTGGCCCTCTGGAGGGCCAGGCGTCCAGGGGGAGTGTGTCTGGTGTCCCAGGCAGTGGGCTTCTTGTTAGGCGCTGACGGGTACCTCCTCAAGGTGCTTCGTGAGCTGCCACCACAAGCAGGAAAGCTGATCTCTGAGGGGGCAGAGGCTGTGTGGAAATCTGAACGGATATCAGCTTGCAGCTTCCGACAGCCCAGGGATGGGCCAGGACTGGGGGCGCCAATCTTTCCAACGTGGCTCAGGAGCACCAGTGCCCACCCAGAGAGCAGCCAGCATTCCCTCACACCTCAGTCAGCAGCGGTGGACATGTCTCAGGGGTCTGCAAAAGATGTGGTCCGCTGAAGGTCTGCTGAAGGCTGGGCCAGAGTCTGTAAGGGTCCCAGAAGCAGGGCTCAGAGAAAGAACAGACAGGGCTTCCAGGGAGTCCCTCAATCACCCCGGCTGCCCTTCTGAGTCAAGGGAGGGGCTGAGCCACTCAAAAGGGGGAGGGAGCCGCCATGCATGAGAGGAGTATTTGGAAGCGGGGAGGTGGTGTTCTGGGAGGGGGAGGCTGAGTCACTGAGGCCCCAGGGCCTGGCAGCACCTCAACCTGGGGCAGGAGGGGCCCTGGCAGCACGACACTGGGGCAGGTCGGGCCAGCAGCCTGTTCTCCACAGCCTGAGGCTCTGACACCCACAGACAACTGGTGGGCCAGGAGGTGGGGCCTGGGAGGGTCAGGCACAGGCAGACGGGCAGGGGTCACTCCCTGTGAAAGGTGCCTGCCCCCAGAACCTCCCCTATCCGAGCTTTGCTGTAATAGCTGGATGCCCTAGCCCCAGGGCTCTTTATGAATTCAGAGGGTGGACTGGGGAGTTAGGGCCCCCCATCTCTGGCGGGGTGTCTGCCTGCAGGACAGGGAGGCTTTACAGCACCTGTTGTTGACCCATCCTCACCCCTTGTGTGGGATGGGGAAGCAGCTGGGCGGAGAACAGAGGTGAGAGCCGGGGCACTGCTGGTAAATGGGGCTGCCTGCCCTCCCAAGCCTGAATCTGAGGCCCAGAGCCCAGACTTCACTTTGGAAAAGCTTACGTCAGTTCCTAGGTGGCCGAGAATTTGTTGCCCGAGTCCTGTGGCATGAGACCTGTGCAGGCCTGGGGCCCTAGCTGGGGTCCTCTTACTCCCCAAAAGTCCCAAGCCCAAACCAGATGGCACTCCAGCTCAAGGCCCGCGGCCGACATTGGGGGAGGGCGCCCCTGGCAGTGCATGGGGTCGGGCTGGCTCCCCCGCCCCCCGGAATGCCAGTCCAGCGCCGCGCAACCCCCCAACCCAGCCCAGCCCAGGCGGACCGGGGAACAAAGCGGCGGGAGGGACCGGGAGGGCCAAGCGCTGGAGGAATTGATGCGGGAAGACGGTACAGGGGAGCGAGGAGGACGGAAGGACACGACAGATGAAGGCGCCCGCGGATCCCGCAAGAAAAGTTAGTTTGTGCCCGCCCTCAACGGTGCTGACCCCCAGATCAGTCCCCGCAGTCTCACCTCTCCCAGCCTCCCCGCCGGGGATCCGGCAGGTCCTGCTCGGTCCCTGGCACTCTGGACGGCGGCTCCCACTGCCCCCCTTACCCTTTTTCTCCTCCTTCTCCTTTTCCAAGGCCGGCTCGGCGCCTCCCGCAGGAAATCCCGCCCCTCCCCCCTCCCTCCGGCCGGATCGGGAGCGGAGGGACCGTCCCGGCAGCGCAGTCGGACTGTCAGTCAGTGCCTACGGCCCCGCCCCGATCCGCGTCAGGCCCCGCCCCCTCTCTCTGGTCCGGACCGAGGACTCTGGCCGGGTCAGCGCATGCGCCCAGGTGAAGCGGCGTGGGTGGGGCCGAGAGTGCGCGCAGCTGCCTCCTGGCTGTGGAGCCCCGGGCGACCCGGGGCTCTAGAGTTCAGACCGAATGGTGAGATACCCTGTTTGTGACTGGGTGGGACAGAAGACGTGATGTGAAGGGATCTGGGAACCGAGACCCAGGAATCCCACTTGGGAAGACCCCCTTCCTCTTTGACCCTCGCCCTTCCCGGGACTCCCGCGGCGACCTCCGCCCGCGGCCAGAGTCTCCGACCGACAGCCACTGGTCGGAGCAATGGTGCCACCTAGCGGACTGTGTCGGAACGACCCACGGTGGCGGCGGCGGGGACCCCAGCCTTGAGGAGGTGCTAATGACGGGCTGGGGTGGCGCTTCAGCACCATCGTGGGTCGGACAGCGCCTCCCCCCAACCCGCCCCGGCCCTGGAAACCCGGCTTCGGACCCCCTAGGAAGGGACCTAACGGAAGACCCTGAAGGAACTCCGAACCTCCCTAGACTGCACCTGACAGCCCTCGGTGACCTTCAGTTTGTGAAGGTGGAATTCAGGAACCCAAAGCTCTCCCTTCTCTAAACCCCCTCTTCTAACCTCCCTGTCCAGCTTGGGTGGTGGGGACTAAGCAGCCCAGGGCTGCGGAGAGGAGGGTCACGCATTTGACTCTTCATACTACACTTTTCTAACGCCGGGCTCCTCAAGTTTTACTAGAGAGAAGCCCAGAGGCGGGCTGGGAATAGGAGAGGGGAGCGCCTCCCAATCCAGAAACCTGCAAGCTCTCCGCCCCCGGAATCGAGGCACATGTTTGTGGGCAGCCTCTAGGACCCAGGACACCCAGGAAGGTGGAAAGCAGGTGGGTTGATCCGGAGACCCGAGGAGCAGAGGTAGGATCCGCGGGCGCTAGGGCCGCGCGGAATTCCGGCGGTGGGCGGGGCGTGGGCGTGGCGCGCGCGCGCGCGCAGCGGCAGACCGCAACCCCATGGAGCCCGAACCCGAGTCAGCCTCGGTGGAGGTGCCTGCCGGGCGCGTGCTCAGGTGCGGCGCGGCCCGGCTCGGGGGAGGCGCCGGGACAGCGGAGTGGGCGCCGGGAAGGGCCCGGGCACCCGGGACGGGGATCCAGGCCTGGGCCGAGCGGCCCCGACTGCGCGGCGCTAACCCCGCGTCCCTTCCTTCCCCAGTGCCCCGGAGCTCTTCGCTGCCCGTTCCAGGTCCCAGAAGCTGCCCCAGCGCTCGCATGGCCCCAAGGACTTCCTCCCCGACGGCTCAGCGGCCCAGGCTGAGCGACTGCGAGTGTGCCGCGAGGAGCTCTGGCAGCTGCTGGCGGAGGAGCGCGTGGAGCGTCTGTGAGGGGGCCGGGCCGGGGCGGGGGCAAAGCCGGGGCGGACGGACCCGGTAGACTAATCCGGTAGACTGAGACGGACCCCTCCCTACTCCTCGCCAGGGGCAGTTTGGTGGCCGCCGAGTGGAGACCGGAAGACGGCTTCGTGGAGTTGAAGTCTCCTGCGGTGAGCGGTGGGGTTCAGAGACAGGGAACCCGCCTTCTCTGCCCTCCTGGCTCTTTTGTGACATTTGGTCTGGATCCCACGCAGGGTAAATTCTGGCAGACTATGGGCTTCTCAGAGCAGGGCCGGCAGCGGCTTCACCCGGAAGAGGCCTTGTATCTGCTGGAGTGTGTGAGTGGGGCCCTGGGAGAGTGGAGAAGGGGTTGGGACCAAGGAACCGGAAGGACGTTTTTATTGGAGAAAAAGTATATACAACTGAGTATTCAGGGAGCTTGTAACCTGATTTCTAGAGCAGGAGACAAGAATACCACGCAGGGAGCAGGCATTCCAGTCGAAGTTATTGGTGCTGCCTCCCTCTCCCCCCTCCCCTTCCTGGTTGGCCCTATTCTTGCTGTGATGAGGGGGGCGTAGCACGCGGATATCGGAGCAGGGAAGTTGCCTCATTGGCTGTGCCACTGCAGGGACGGTTCACAAGCTGAGCTGTTGGCCCCGCTTCCAGGGCTCTATCCAGCTCTTCTACCAAGACCTTCCACTGTCTATCCAAGAGGCCTACCAGCTGCTGCTGACTGAGGACACTGTGACTTTCCTGCAGTACCAGGTATCTGCCACCCTCTCGCGGGACAGAAGCCACCCATCCACTGAACTAATGAGTATTTATAAGTACCTCCGAGGTGCTAGGCACAGAGCCATGTGCTGAGGCTACAAGACCTGCAAGGGCTCTGTTGTCATGGTGCTTACATCCTAGTGGTGGCACTTGGGTAATATATAAGTAAGCAGGCAAATGGATGGTTGACTTCACAGCTGAGTGCCAGGAAAAAGACAAAGAGGAGGAGGGGCACCAGGCTAGAGACAGAAATGTGGACACCATGATGGCATGGATGGTATTTCAAACCCCACTGGGCTGTACCTAGGTGTGGCCAGAGTAGAGGGCTGTGTCTGAGAACTGGGGCACTCTAACCTGAGGAGGTCAGGGGGAAGATAAGGGAACTGAAGAGGGTCTGGCAATGCAGGAGAAAAACCAGGAGAGGTGGCGTCACAGACGCCAAGAGAAGGTCTTTCCAGGAAGAAGTGCTTGGCTATGTTGAAGGCTTGAGAGATCAAGCAAGCTGGGGGCATTCCTGCCTACATCTCTCAGATGTGGATACAGGGACACAAGGTTGAACATGTGGTTCATCCAAAGACTATTCCCCCCATCCCACCCATCTATGGAGGTGCTGCGGGGCGGCCAGGTGTTCACCACCTTCTGCTATCTCGTCTTTATTGTGGTCAGGAGCTTCACTGGTGACAGCTTTGGTATCAGAATATTCTAGGGTGTAGTTTTTTTCCTGGTCCATCAACTATCAGCTTTTTGGGATTTGTGTTTAAATTAAGAAACCGCTAAATGTCGTTTGTGCCCACAGTAAGGGAGAGACAGGAATTCAGAGACTTGAGACCTTAGTTTGGGGAAAGCGTTTATAATGGAGTGTGGTCCTACCAGTCCCAGGGTTTGGAATCTGGGGGTGTGGTGAATGGCTTCTGTGTGGAGAAACTACTTGTTTTCAAAAGTGGACGTCTGACCTCTACTTTTTTATCTTTTGAGGTCTTCAGTCACCTGAAGAGACTGGGCTATGTGCTTCGACGATTCCAAGCAAGGTAAATCCCTATCTTATTGCCCTCGAATTTATTCTAGTCCTGGAACCTGGCTGACTGGCCCCAAAGTAGAAAGTGGCCTCTCCTTACCTGGAATCCTTGGGGAACTGCAGCTTTCTGAACAGGCTGGAGGTGCTCCATCGAGAAGCGTGTTGGGACAAATCTGGGTCATTTCACCTTATCCTGGGCTATCAGATTGAGCCCCATCTTCATCCCGTTCACTCCACAGATAACAACTGAGCACCTACAGCTCAGCGTGAGAATGGAGATACAGTACCGGAACAGTGCCTGGCACTTAGTAGGTGTGCAAGCAGATTTGTTAAGTGAAAATATGAATGAAGGACCAAGTGAAAAATTAACAGCTGAGTAGGGTTTCACATTCCTTTTGCTAGGTTAAATGTTCTTTCCTTCTGGGTCTTCTGAGCATCAGCACCTTAGTAATCCAGCACAGCTAAGAGCCACAGAGACTTTCAGACTCAGGAGGAGAAACTGGTACAGCCTTTGCAGGTTCACAGTATGTCATACATGCTGTAGAACAAGCACATCCTTTAATTCTTGAAAGTGGAACATATCTTAAGGAAACAGTCACAGATGTGTGTGTAAGTTCACCTGTGAAACGTGTTTATTCATTCAGTCGTTTGTTCAGCAATATTTATTGACTACCTACTGGGTGCCAGGCCCTATGCTGGTTGCTGAGGAATAGCAGAGAGCAAAATCACTGCCCCCACAGAACTTGTATTTAGTGGGGAGCTTACATGAAACACCATCACTTTGCGAAATCAGTGATTTTGGAAACGTACTATAAGCCCAACTGGGAAAGCATGGTCATACAGATTAAAGTTTATCCCTTAGAGCAACGCTATTTGATAGAACTTTCTGTAGTGATAAAAATGGTCTGTGTCTGTGTTATCCAGTATACGTGGCTTGTGTAACCATGGGACTGAATTTTTAATTTTGTTTAATTTTAATAGATTTAAATTTAACTTAAATAGTCCCTTTTGTCTAGGGCTACCATATTGGACAGTACAGCCTCACAGGCATAAAAAAATCATGGCAGGGAAGAATGAATAATGTCCATAACATACTGTTGAGTGTAAAAAAAGACTACACAGTAGTATGTTAGTACAATGTCATTTTTGAGAGGGAGAAACATGGAGAAAGACAGTATGCGTGTTTGTAAGAAACAACGTTACAGTAGTATCTATGGGTTTTATTTTCATTTTTCTTGATTTTCCAAGTTTTCTCGTCCCCCTGATTTTTCTCACTAGGGATTAATTATTTATTGCTGGCTCTGCAGGAGCCCTAGTTTCAGGGAACCTCTGTTCAAAGGTGCCGTTGGTGAGACCCAGAGGCCTGGACAAAGTTGCATGGACAGGCCCCTGTGTCTGCCCCCACGTACCCCGTGTGCAGGTCTGCCTGGGGCCTTAGCCCCTGGTTATGGCTCTAGCCCTGGCCCATGACTTACTCTGAGTCAGTCCCTCACACATTCCACGGGGAGCACCAGACTGAGGAGGTGGTTCTGTTGCCTGCCCCATTCTCACCCACAGCTCTGTCCTGTCCCCTTACGAGAGGCAGCTGAACTTGGATGGCAGTGTCCAGCGCTTGGAGGATCGGAATGGCAAGAGGAAGAGGAGGAGCTCCAGCTCTCAGTAATGCTCCCCACATGGCCACTCCCCAGGGAGAGCCTTGAGGGGGTGCTGGTGTTTGGGCCTTGGAGAATGCCCGGGCTTAAGAGCTGGGCTGGGGCTCAGGGAGGCAGTAGGGCACGTGTGGGTCGCGTGCACCTCAGCAGTCAGGAGCAGATGTGCTGCATTTCCTCCCCACGTCCCTCAGGTCCATTAATAAGAAGCCCAAGGCCCTGGAGAACCCCCTGCAGGGGGTGGATGGGACACCCGAGAGCCTGGCGACCTCCAGCCCACCTCCCCGCAACCAGAACAGCCGATGCCCAGAGGAGAAATCCCAGGAGTCAAG